TAAAAAAACTACTAAATATATATTTTAGACATTTAGAAAACAGTTGATTAAAATGTTAGTGTAGATGAACAGAAGGTGATCATTTTATTTAAAAAAAAACAAAACATTTTCATTCCAATATGGGCAGACTACCTGGATCCACTCCACTAACGTGTAGTCACATTATCTGTTTAAACAGGTGGATTAAAAATGAATAAGCTGTGACTCTCTGTGGTATCGCAGTAAAACGCCCGACGATTCGCCTTGTTCTTCATGTGGTCATTTTGCACCCCTGTGATGCGTCATGTGATTTCTGTACGGGAAGTGTTCATCTTTGCCGTCGGGCTCCTTGTACCATTGTTGAGCATTGACAGTATTTAATCCCCGTCAGTGCTTCATGGCAGGTTTACAGTTTGGGTGTGTTAAGCTCTTTTGTAATCAGTGAGTCGTTTACAACTTTTATCACTGACTCCATCGCAGCCTTGCATGTTTCCCCCGACCCCTAAACATCATGTCTCGTTCCAAACGCCTCACATTCATCAATGACGCCGTCACTGCCACTCAGGTATGTTGATGGATGGCATCAGTGACTATTTGTGTCAGATGAGTTTTAATGGATGTTTTTAAGAGTAATTTATGGCCACTTGTCACGACTGGTTTACACATACAAATGCCAAAATCTTGCCTCCCGCCCTCTGAGAAAAAGAAAAAGCTCCCGCTGCAATCATCGACTCAACTCCATGCTGAAATACCTGTTATTATCCTCGGCAGGTATGAAGACCTGCGACCCGGTTTCCCTCTGCACACACATACACACGCACACACACATTAGGTTATTTCCAGACTTTTCAATAAGAAGAAACAGTCTGTACATTTACTGCCAGCCTATGTCTGCCTGTGAAATATATCATTATATTTCATGTTTCCTTCCTGAGGGTGTTTTGCTGCACTCTATAAAAAAAAAAGAACTTCAAGGAGGGTCTGAAGAAAGGATGCACACGATGTATTATTTCAAACATTAACCAACAGTTACTCTCAATGCAGGTTTGATGCCAGTTCAGTAACTGACAATTATTTGCTTCTTATGGATCATACAAAAAATGTGAACTGAAGAATAACTGTTTATATATATATATATATATACCTATATCTTTATATGGCTTCAAATCTTCATATGGCTGGTTGTTATACTGAATCATCACTCGTGCACACGGTGAATATTTAATGGTAAACAAACAACCACTGACTCCTGATATTTTCCAATATCGACATTATCCTCTAATAAAACAGTCTCCTCAATGCCAGTACCATTAGTAATAGCTCTCCACTTCCTGTCACTGATGACTGTCCATGTATTGCTAATAATCATTACCAACAACAGACTGAAACTATAATATCCGCTCACTGTGGGCATTTTCAGCAGCATTAACGAATACCTTAGTCCTTTATTTCTCATGGCCATTTGCCGCTAACACTTAATAATAATATATAATAACCTGCCTCTCATGGGCTGTGTTGATTATGACAGTGGGTTGTTTTTTGCTCACTCTACACAGTGTCATTCATGATAAGTATAAATATTCATGACCTAAAAGGCTAAGTCCAAAAGTGTCTGTTTTTAAAAACTAAAATGTGTCAATGTACATTTTTAAAAGTGTTGAATTGTATTGCTTTTTATTAGGTTGTTCATTTTTAAACACACACTTCCATATTCACTTGCTCCTTATCCTGCTACATCCTGCTGTTTTTTTTGGTCTTAGTAAATTACAAACATCTGACAGAGGCTGACAAGTACAGTATCTGTTCAGTTTTGGTACCAATAATTATATCAATCAGTAAACATTAATAAATCATTTCTATTGGCAAACAGCAATATAACTATTTACAAGCTCTGTTTGTGATTTCTTTTGTGTGCTGCCAATGCAATTAACAATAATTAGTCAATTAGTGGCCTGTATAGATATCAAATGGCTAAATGGTCATGCAGATTTATTTCCCCTGGAAATTATTACTTTTTACTTACCACCAAAGGACAAGGGTAAGATGAAGTAAATATGTAGGATTATGATTGCGATCTGATGGGTTTCTGTCAATAAGCGAGGTGTGTTGTGGTTTTTATCCTTATCATTAACGTAATATATTAACGTAATATATATACATATATATTTACTCTATACTACAGTATATAAATTGAACATACTTTATATATACAATATACTGTATGTTTGGGTAGTTATTATATGTACATGTAGCTGTATGACAGCATGATGCAGTTCCTACATTATATGGTCACTACTACATACATGGGGGGGGGGGGGTGATGTGGAAAAGCCGTGGTGTGAGTCTGACGTGTGGGAGATGGTGACGAAACAAGAGGAGGACCTGTTCTTATCTGATCTAGACCACTTTAGGAAGACACCTGTGTCAAACAGGACGATATATATTACCACCTAAGTAGACGTCAACCCCCCCAAGGACTAGCACTGGAAGTGGGCGGAGCTGTCGGACATGCAGCTGCAGGCAGGAAGTGAAGCCGACAGGGAAGGAAACGCCTTTTATTTATGGGGAGGTGAAAAGCTGACAGAGAAGGTGATGCAGGTTCAAGACCGAGGAATGAGGAGAAAAATGGACGACAGGAAGTCAAAACAAGTGCACAGAATTACCTAATTAAATTACGTTTTTAAAGGGGAAACAGGACACTCCACTTAAGTTAGTCTGGCTGCTCTTCTTTCCTGTCCTGAAGGTGTTTTCAATGTTTAGGTGTTCCATTTTACATTTGTCACTATAATAAGGCAGGATAAGACAGAGAGACATCTCACCCCAAAGTGCTTATGATACTCAGCCATGACAGTCTGTGTCCTAAGACCCAACCAATGATTAATGACTACGTTTAACCAGGACGGACATTTTAAATCACTGATGTCGAAAAGGATAGTGGCGTACAGTGATTCACAAAAGAAGAGCTAGGTCGAAAAAAGGAAAAATCACTTAGGCAGTTCCAGAGGTATTGGTCTAATACCCGAGAGACCTGAAGCTAATAGCTACATAACAATAGAAAACAATCTGAACCACTCTCATAATCTGTTAATATTATACATGCCATAGAATAACTATAATGCCATTTAAAGGACTTAGTTAGATTTTATTAGATTACTTCAAATGTTAGCTTCACTGCATGGCTGGTCATGTTCACATGCTGCTATTGCAGCAACACATTAATATTTTCACATCAATCAACAGTTAACTGTGCAGGATGTACTTGTGAAACATGCCTGTACTGTCTGTTAGTGTTGTTGGGGATGACTGTAGTGAGTAATGTATGTAGTATTGTAACATTGTTTGGCACTATTTCCGTTGAGCTAACATGTTTTTCTTTTCAGAGTCCATCATTTTAAGTCTTGTTTTGACCCAAACCTATGGTTTTCCTCTGTCTTGTAAACATTGTGCGTGTTATCATGACAACAGAACGTCAGTTAAAACTATGGCGAGAAGTTTTGTCTGCAACAGTCGATGCATTGCTGTGTTTATTTTTGTTTTTTTACCCGAGGACTGCTGCCGAATCACAATGGTTCTGTCTTTACATCTTTAATGTAATCACTCTATCTCTCTTGTTCAGCATCAGCATCTTCTTAACATCAACGAAAATGTCTTTCATGTCTGTGCTTATGACTGTAAAACATGGTCAGACGTGTATGAAGACATAAAAAAAAACCCAACAGCCCATAGAGGTAGCAAGTCATCGGGCAGGTAAACAAACACAAGGTCGAGCAGGGAGGTGTTTAGCAGCTAATTGTCTTCACTGGGGAAATGATGTGGCCTCACTTAAAGCCTGTAAAGTCCCTCGGCCTGGGGCTGGAAACAGACGCTGCTACAGGAAGAGCCCAGGGGCACATGCACGAACGATGGCAGACACGCACACACACACACAGAAATGCTTGGGTGTCCCTCAGAAACACACACCTGGAGACAAAGGGAGTGTCTATCAGCGGCACACACACACACCTGAGCCCCCCAGCCCCGCCCCCAAATTCGCATGACACCTGTCAACACATTTGGTGTGGAATAAACATCCTCTGAGCTCGTCTGGCAGTTCGACTAGCAGATCAAAGAGAAAATGTCAGAGGAGTCAACAGGACAGCTCACAGATCTGCTCCCACACCACAGTCCTGATTGTGGTTGAAAAGCCTGTGTAAAAGTTGATGAATTCTAAGGCCAACACTGTGCTTAACAGGTTCCTGGAGTAGCAGGGGTATTTTCATGTTTGTGAGTACAAAAACCAATACATCTTTGGGTTTGGTTTCTATAATTGTGCAGTGAAGGGGAAGGTAATGTTTGATAGGTGGCGTTGCTGTGGAGAAGGGTGACGACACCACAGTGAGGAGATACAGAAATGCTTACATTCATTTTTAATTTTTAGCAGAAAGCTAATTCAACCCAAAAGGAAACAGATCATTCTATATTGAACAATAAGTTATCAAATTGACACTGCCACCACCTTAGACTAGATGGATGGACCAGAACAGAAAGTGAGCGGAGCTTTTGAACCATTAGTGCATTTTGATATATATTTTTTTTAAATCTCCTCATTTACTTCTATACGAAAGGTGGGCTGCAGCTCCAGCACAGGCTAACTTTAGGGGCAAAACATGTTTTCGGAAACCTCTTTAATAACTTCACTATAAAAGAAAAAGATGTATAAGAAAGTACAAGTCATTACCAAAGAGAACAAAGGGAAGTGTGTCCTGTCTGCAACATCTTGAATATTTCTTGTAATTTGGAACTCGATAGAACTCTGGGACGCCTGTGGACATGTCTGTTTTATCACTTACTTTATACAGAAATATTCTCGTCTCCTTTTCCGTGTTTTAAAGTAACAAATGCCATTTACACAGTGAGTTGAGTGACAGTAAAGGTCATGTACAGACACATTGTCCATGGTTTCCGTTGAAAACACCCCACTGAGTTTCCCACAGATCATTTCACATGAATATATAACGTGTGACAATATAATCAGGACTTACTTTTTCATTTCTCAGTCATTCCAGTGCAGATGAAACCTTTACACACTTGACGTACAGCTGAAAATAAATGCAATGGAAATAGTTAACATATGGTAAGAAAAATGTGTATAAAAAAACAAACAAAAAAAAAACAGGAGAAATACAAAGGGAATAGGATGAAATCTGCTAGTACTGCAACAGCCAGACTGGGAGAATAAGGTTATTCTATTCCATACAGATAGTAAGAAGGTTAATTTCAGACTCAACTTTGCAACATGCCAATAGGGCCGATAATAAACACCTAGTTCAATTGTGGTCAAAATGGGGGATGTGCCCCTCCAGATGGGGTGCAGGGACATCATAGACAGGCTGTACAAAGATCCATTCTCTATTGTCTTATATTTCCTAAATGTCCCACAGTGAAGTTTTATAGCAATAGTGTGTTTTCAAATTCAACCTCTGGTGAAATTCTCAGCTACTTAACACTTTTTACTTTTGAGACCAGTGTGTAGGAAGTGCTGATACCTAAAGGAGGGACTAAAAATTAAGCAAGTCAGTTAACTACTGAAGAATATATTACTTGCAAAAGAAATATTCCACTTTCCACATAAGGTTTTTTACTTTTAAATACAAAAAAATAACACACTTGTTATTCATTTTGCTGTTCATTTTAAATTTTTAATTCTCCTTTTAGACTTTGATGTGGGCGAGCGAGCAAAATTCCAAACATAAATAACTGCTTACCTGGAGAGAAGATGTAAAACACAGCCACGCATGATGCTGACATATGTTTGGCCACGGTTTGATTCTGTTGAGCCAAAAATTGATCTGATTATCATATTAAGAAAAAAAAGTGTGTACAGTTTTTCTTCTGATAGTGACATCTGTTATTGTAATTACACACACATGAAAAACTCTTCTCAGGCAGAGACAAAGGTGGTCAGACAAGCTTCTCTTTGAACATGCGTGCACTACACATTCACACACGTGCACACAGTATGTGCCGTGATGATCGGCCCGTGGGTCTTTCTGTCAGTTTCTTTCACTCCAAGCATTTGACAACTCCAATCAGCTGTCAGTGGTTTCAAACGCACCTCCCCGCGCTTCCTGTCATTTCATCTCCGATCTGACGACACGCTGACGGACCGACTGTTTCTCTGACACTAACCGCGGGTTTGTGATTACTTCTGCTGCGAGGAAACGAAGGAAATGGAAGTGAAGTGGTGATGGCACTAAGGTATCGAAAGCTTGTGACACTGACATGAAGTATTTTAAAGAGATTTGTCTCCAGTGAGTGATGACACAGTCAATTTACAGTTGAGGGAAATACAGAGGCTGACACATCACTGTTAGTGTCCTCCGCATCCTGATTGATGTTCCTGATTATTTTCCCTGAGTTTTTTCAGATTTGAACTACAGTGCTTTTCTATAAATAAAGCTCATAGTCTCTTCTAATAAACACAAGTTCTATCTCATTATGCTGGGCTCACTTGATTACCTCAAATGAATGAGGCCCAGCATCAGTGTGTTGAGGTTCTGCTAGTCAGTCGCCATAGTGCAAACATTAAACCCCCTCATACTACTGTATAAGACATGATTGGACAGCTGCTGGCAAGATTTGTGAGTGAAATCTAAAGTCTCTTTTCACTCTGTAATTGGGGAAATTCTTGTAAATCAAAGTTTAATTTAAGAGGGAACTCCCTGGAAACCCCTGCAGGGGTCTCCGGCAGCTCCAGTTTGAGAACTGCCTCTCTGCTGTACTTGCCCAAACTGTCAGTCAGTGTGTAGGAGAGCCTGCGGCCTGCAGTCATCTCCTAAATGGTAATTTATGTGTTGTTGTGGAGGACAAATTGCTGCAGGAGGTGCACTATTAGTTAAACTGTGTTTCACAGCGACGTGTTTTCACCTGCAGCACAGCTATGCCAAAAATGTTATAACTCAGCGCTGGGACACCGGCGGCTACAGACTCAGGCTTTAATAGTGAAATGGGGGGGTTGGATGGGTTTTTACTGACACGCCGTCCTGTTAGAGATGCTGCTCAGGTTCCCACAGCTGTAAACCCTGTTCAACAAACAATAGATAGAACTTGCAACAGTCACAGTTCTGTGGACACCACCGCATACAGCATGATACAACATCAGAAAAGCATGAGTGGGACTGTTTCCGACAAAAACTGACCACATCTGGCCATGTCCAATTATGACCTGCATCCTAACGTGAGCAGAATGACGTGCATTGTACGTCCAGTAATTCCATCGATCATCTACAGTCAACACACACATTCATTCTGTCATTTGTTCTGTTTTTGTTTCACCAAATACACCATCTGGGACAGTACAGTAAGCAGGTGTACAGCTGACAGGCTGACTGACACAGATGCCAAATGCTTTGTACCGGACTGTAGACAGATTAATGCTGCAGTTTGACCACAGCTTCACCAAAGGTTTGAAAGCAACTACATGAGAACATGTTCTACAAGCCACATGTACATTCATAATTCCATTCTTTGAATTAGTCAAAACTAAAACAGTTGTGAAACACAAACATCACCTGTTGTTATTTGTCTTTCTGATCCAGTAACATAGAGATAATGGGTTTTGTCACATTTAGTAATTTATCTTGAATTTAAAATGATGAATCATGATTAACCCACAGCTAGCCTATGATTAATCGGATTAACAATGCCTATCTCTTGCCAGCCCTAAACACGTCATACCTTCAGTGAAAATATAACCAAATGCTAACACATTTTCCAATTAAAATGCTTTTGCACACAATAAGATTGCCCAAATCTAAGATTTGGACACATTTGTTGTTGATGTCATGGTGGAAGAATCTGTAACTCCAGACAGGAGGAAACAGAGAACAGAACTCAGCCAAGGTAAAACACACAGAGCAGGGCAGACTGCTGGAAGAATGGAGAGTGACAGACCTGGCAGAGTCTCCAGCAGTACACTGACAAACTGACACCACAAATCCACACAGACACCAGGTGTGACGAGTGAGACAGGGAACAGGTGAGTGTGATCAACAGATTAGCTAGGGAGACGGACAGAAGGGCAGACAGCCATGATACATGTTAAACCACAAAGATATGGACTTCTAGCTCCACTGATAATGGAGCTGCTAATCCTCAACACTCCTTTTTAGTTGTCTTTCTTTCCACTGGAGTTTGTGTTTGTTTGGGAGCAGTGACATTGCCAAGTTTTCTGTTATAAAGTTTGTGTGCTTTCCTGCAACTGCAGAGACATGATTTGCATAACAACATTGTTAAAAAAAATACACACACACACAAACAGAGATGAAACAAATTGTACACACCGCACTATCAATGCCTGCTGAGCCAGAGATGTGACAGCAGAAAGATGGATGGATGAGCCTCCATTTCTGATGATGAATGTTTAACTAAGTGTAAACAGACAGGACGTTACTTTATTATTGTTTATTTTCACTCTAAACACACAGTCAAAAGTCAAAGATACTGTCTATTTGGTGAGATGATTCTAACAGAGTATGAGAGGTGAACATTTTATTTTTCTTACAGTAACTCTAATGTATTTGTTTTCCTCATAGAAAACAAATACATTATGTATGTCACAACTAAGGGACTGCCTTGATTATCATCAGTGGTTCAACCAGGAACCATCACATATGGAGCCAAAGAAAACCTTTCATGACCAAAGTCTCAAAGTTCCCATAGTGTTGATAAATTCTTCACTAGAGGCACAGCGAGAAGAGTTTTCAGTTTCCTTTCTGTACATTTACAGTTGACATATGTAAATGTTAAGCTCTCTTTTGACCTTTCTTTTTAAGTAATTATGTGTACTTCGAGTACTGTAAAGCTTATGGATTATGGTTGAAAATGTAAATCCTAACCTTTTGTTAATGATATTTTTTTTGAACAGTTGAACATCAGTTTTTGTTTAAAGGGACACTTAGCTTTAGTGGATTGGTGTCTCTGTTAAAATAATGCAAATGTTTAGAGACATTTCCATTTGAACAAACCAGTTGACAACACCATTACACTTTCATAAATAGGTCTTTTTGTAAAGAAGCAACTTGTTTTGACTAATATGCCTCAACAATGCATTAGAAACCAACTAATTGTAACAATTTGTCATTTGCTAGAATCATCGTATTAATAAAACTAATCAACTGCAGTGCTGAAAAAACAAATGAGGGACTGAAATGTTTTGTAAAAATTTGAATAAAGTACATGCAAATAACTACAACTAGTAAAATAACCACATCGAATGATAAATAGACAGTTAGTTTAATTATGTTCAACTTTTACAAAGAAACGGTTCTTGTGTAATACTCAGATTAGTCTCAGATTTTACAATTTTTTGTACCCACTGTTCGTTATGTTGGTAAGGTATCCCTTGTTGATCCTTATTGATTTACTAATCTTTACAAATGTGTCTTAACGTGAGGCGAACCTGAGAGTCCGGACATACAAACCTCCTAAAAAACGAGACAGCGCCCTCGAGTGGCCAAACATTAAATGGCACCAATCACAAACCACACACGTACATACACATTATTGCACACACACGAGTCGGGCTGCAGGTGACAGTGTTGAAGACATTTCCATTAGGGGTGATAAAGATACTCACATGGAGATCAGGACAGAGGGAAGCTGAGGATGAGCAGTTTGAAGATAAAGGTGAAAATGTGGTAATGTTCAGGGAAGAGATATTGGATTAATGTTAGAGCTGGATGAAGAATACTAAATACTAGAAGTATACAACATTTTATACTTTTTATGCTACAATAATTAGTAATGTGAGTCAATTGTGATCATATAATGTATAGTAAATTGAATTTCTCAATTTTATTATTAAAATCTCGATTTTATTATTTATTAATAATACTTTTTAAAGGTATTTAAGGCTAGGGTTTTTATTTGGACCTACCAAAATGTGAGAGGCAGGGCAGAGTCCTCGCAAGAAAAGGATACATATGATACTGTGTGTGTGTGTGTGTGTGTGCGTGCGTGTTCCCTCTGAAAATCTGTCTGATTCAGTTCAGAAGCTTCCAGCAGCAAAGCAGCCAATCAGAGAGTGACAGACAAGTGAGAGTCCGACCATCTGTAGGTGGATTGACGCCGAGACACAGACATACAGACACACAGAGACACACAGAGACACGCGCACACACACATTTTGTCCACTGTTTGATATGTACCTGCGTTTTTCCTAGTTGAGGAGAGACCACCCTGTAATGTTGCTGTAAAACATCTCATGGCCAATCACTTTGTTTTATGTCTGTAGCTCTGATTTACGGACGTGTGGCCTTATGAGGTACTGGCACGGTAGCATGTGTAGAAAGTGCTTCACACACTCCACTGCACCTGAATTGTTTTTAACTCACTTTCCTCCACTCGCCTACATCAGGCACAACATTGCGAGTAAATGTGGCATCATGAATCACGAAGGCAAAAATAAAGCCATGCTGGAAATCGCATGTTCAACACAGCAACCAATGTTGTTTTGAAAGATTTTATCCATTGCAGAAACAGAGACTCAAAATTAAAGCCATGACCTTCGACCCACCTTTTTTGCCATCAACGACCAAAAACTAGTTTCCCTGTTCCTTCATGTTTCTTTTAACCACACATGATAATACAATAATAAAATCTTCAGATTTTCAAATAAAAGCAAGTAACAACTACAACAGAAAAGAATCTGCCCCAGTGTCTCCTTGCCATCAGCACCATACTATCAGAACAGTTATACAAAGCTAAACTTCTGTACTTCTGTTACTGTAGCCTCCATGTTCCACAGCCTCATGCAAACAGAATGTGAT